GAAGATGCGGGGTAAAAAACTAGTACCTCCGAGGTACTAGTTTCCGGTAACCGCGGGGCAAGGGCGGGCGTCTGATCGCGTTTCCAGTGGCATCCGGCGCCTGCCCATGTCCCCTTGCAAAAAGTTTTTCCCCCCAAGTCTCCATGGATGCGCACAAGCACCCAGCGGAGCATGCGCATACTTTGGTGTACAGAAAAAACCAAACCCGTTTGCGGCCCCGCACTGCTTCTTTGCCACGCCGCAGGATTGTCCTGTGATCGGCACCTCCCCCCTACTCATGGGACCTCCACGGAACCTCCACGGGATGTCTGATTGCGCAACTGCGCATTATTTTGCCCCGGGGCAAACAGCCACGCCTCCCCCCTGCAATATCCAGCCTGTGTGACCGGGGCCTGTGTTGGTCTGAAGCAGCAGAACAAAGTTAGAGTCCAGGGTGGCACCTTTAAGACCAACAAAGTTCCAATCAAGGTAGGAGCTTCTGTGTGCACGCACGCAGTATCTGAGGAAGTGCGCGTGCACACGAAAGCTCCTACCTTGAATAACGCTTTGTTGGTCTTAAAGGTGCCACCCTGGACTCCAGCTTTGTTTACAGACATGATAGATGCCTGTCGTAATATAACTGTGCCCTTCCATTTTTTGTTTTGTTTTTACTTCAGGAGAATCTGATGGGAAAGGAGTCACTCGGTCCCGTAGCATCAACAGCTCTCTCTGCCAAGCTGGGCGACATCGGAGCATCCGGATCCCTAAGGAGCCACGCAGACATACCATTTCCAATGTCCTGGAATACGATGTGGTGAGTGGATTTTCGGGAGTGTCCTTTAGGGTCAACATGCTGCCAAAGTATTCAGTTCGGTCAGGGGCCCTTATCCCTAAGGGTGACAATATTTCCTAGTAATGCTGTGCAATATTCTTCCACACTGTGCATGGAATGCCTCATTTCCCTGCCTTTGTCTCTGGTTTTTCAGCCCCTTCCAACCTCTGGAAAGCTCATTCCCAGGGTTGTGGGACAGGTTAGAGGAAAAGCCACCCAGTTTGGAGGAGCAGAACTGAGGAGGAGGTAAAATTGCATCTCCTTCCTCTTCCACAAGACGAAAGGGATCTCTTGTCCCTTCCCACTTCAGCCCACTGATCCCCATGGTGTTCTTCTGCATGGGTCTTAGAATCATAGAATCTCAGAGTTGGGGCCATACAGACCTTCTAGTCCAACCCCCTGCTCAATGCAGGAGGCCCTAGAGCGTCCCTGTCCAGCTGCTGCTTGAAGACTGCCAGTGAGGGGGAGCTCACCACCTTCCTAGGCAGCTGATTCCACT